ATATGCACAATGCCCCCAATGTGGGTATCAATTTCAATTCAATAGTGGAAGCTTCATGAGAAGACTTGAAAATGTATCATTTTGTGCACTATATGAATCTATATTCTCACGGAAAAATAAAGAGGAGGATCCAAACAAACAAATTATCAAGGATTTACTATCAAGTGACATTTCATCCCCTGTAGTTGACTCTGTAGACATTGCACATTTTTAAACTGTAGAAGGCTGATAGGTGCTCATGATAGTAAAATGAAATAAGAGAAATAAATCTATTAAGATGGTATAAAACAAGAATCTCGTTCTAAACTTCTCTCAATAGCCACGCTCAGGAAAATCTCCAAAGGATTTAAAAAACTGTTTTATTGATGATGATATGCTAGTTTCAAGGTTGCTAGTCATATTTATAATGCTAAATACACTCTAAAATAAAATCTAAATAACTATCTAAGATAATGAATAAAATCTAGATAACTAGATAACTAAATAAAATCTCCTAAAATCTAAAATACTGAATAATAGATAAAATACTGAATCTTAATAAAATCTAAAGAATTAAATAAAATATAAAGAAATATTTAAAAACTAAATAAAATACAAAATCAAATGAAATTAATCCTAATTTATCTTTTGCCACTTTTTTCTTAAATAAGTCTGAATTTTATCTAGAATCTTATCAATACCCCCCTCTTGAAAACTCAACTTGTCCTCAAGTTGAAAAGAAGGAAATTGAGCATGCAATAGGTCGTATTCCTCCCAACTTGCCTCTTCCACAAGTCGCTCAAGCCATTCTACCAATAGTTCAAGCAAATGATGTTGAGTCCATCCATGATCTAAGACTCGGTAAGGCCTTACATGTAACTCAAAATTTGCTAATAGTGATAAGGAAGCTAGTGTAATTGGTGGAGCCATCTCATGACCCTAGTATAAGAGAGATACATGGAAAATAGGGTGAATACAGGCGTCAGCTGGTAGTTCCAATTCATAAGCTACTTTACTAATTCCTCGAAGAATCTTATAGGGCTTAAAGAAGCAAGGTAATAATTTTTCAAACTTTCGCTTGGTAAATGATTGTTGGCGAAAAGGCTGTACTCACAACCACACCACATCGCCTACAGCGTACTCAACTTCCCTTCAGTGCTTGTCAGCATAAGCCGTCATTCGATCCTAAGCCTTGCGCAAATCATCCTTCAAAAGTCGGATCATTGCATCTCTAGTCTCAAGTTGATCTTCCAAGTCAGCAACAAGTGTTTCTCCTTTCACATAAGGAAGCAGGGGAGGAGGATCTCTCCTATACACCAGTTTGAAAGTTGAATGGTTGGTCGATGCATGATGACTTGTGTTGTATGAATATTTCACCCAGCAAAGAAACTTGTGCCAAGATCTGGGTTGCTCATGGGCAAAACATCACAAATAGGCTTCAAGACCATGGTTGACCACTTCTATTTGACCATCTGTTTGTGGATGGTAGGCAGTACTCATCTTTAACTTGGTCTGGCTTAATCGAAATAACTCTTGCCAGAACGAGCTCATGGAGATAGGATCCGTATCAGAGATAATTGAGCAAGGTACCCCATGTAGGTGAATAATTTCCTCACAAAAGATTGTGGCCACCTTCTTTACAGTGTAAGGATGCAAAAGAGCAAGAAAATGTGCATACTTACTCAAACGATCCACTACTACCAAAATAACCTCAAACCCACCTGACTTTAGAAGACCAGTGATAAAATCAAGGGAAATGTCTTCCCAAATTTAAGAGGGTACAGGTAAAGGTTGAAGAAGTCCAACTGGTGCCGGGGTTTGATACTGATTTTGCTGGCAAATGGCACAATGTCGCACATATGCCTTTACATCCGCTTTCATTGTTGGCCAATAAAAATTCTCCGTGAGACGTTTAAATGTTTTAAGAAAACCGTCGCACCCTCCAATAGTAGTAGAATGGGCTTCTGCTAGCAACTTGGGTCACAACTGTGATGAATAAGGAATGACTACTCTGTGGTCACAAAAAAGTTTTTTATTAACAAGGTGGAATCTAGGTCGGGAAGTCAGATCTTTCTGTAAATCCTGCATTATTTCTTCAGTGAAAGGATCCAATGTCAACTCAGAATAAAGGTCGTCCAACTCAATAGCAAAAGGTACTGCCATTTGAAAAAATGGGCGCCTTGACAATGCATCAACCCCCTTATTCTCCACTCCTGCCTTGTGGATGATGGTAAAATTAAAGTGTAAGAGTTTCATGATCAACCGCTGTTGAGTGTTCATTGTGATACGTTGTTGTAATAAATATCGGAGACTAGCGTGGTCTGTTCTAACCAAAAAGTGCCTCCCTAGAAGGTAATGGCACCATTTTTGGACTACAAGAACTAACGCTAGGAGTTCATGATTGTAAGTGGATTTGAAGCGGTTAGAGAAAGAGAATCCTTTACTGAAGTACGCAATAGGGTGGTTGTTTTGCATAAGTACAGCACCAATTCCTTCTGTAGATGCATCACATTCAACTATAAATTATGCTTTAAAATTGGGCCACTGTAGGATGGTTGCCATCATCAATGCTTGTTTAAGATGATCAAAGGTCGTCTGAGCTGGTTCAAAGCATAAGAAGGCATCCTTCTTAGTTAAGTCAGTGAGAGGACGAGCAATAATCCCAAAATTCTTCACAAAACACCAATAATATCTTGCCAAGCCTAAAAATCCACGTAATTCCTTCACATTTTTGGAGTAAGCCATTCACGTACTGCTTCCACCTTTTCCGCCTCAACTTCAACTCCCTGGGCAAAAAAAATATGCCCTAAGAAGGGAACTCGTGGTCTCCCAAGAAAGCATTTTTTTAAATTAACACAGAACCAACTTTCCTATAGGGTCTGCAAGACAATACGCAGGTGGTCTTGGTGCTGCTGGAAAGAGGAAGTGTATATCAAAATATCATCAAAGAAGATCAAGACAAACTTTTGCAAATAGGGGAGAAATAAATCGTTCATAGCTGCTTGAAAAGTGGCTGGTGCATTAGTTAAGTCGAAAGGTATGATTATGAACTCATAGTATCCCACATTTCAATTGGCTTGCACCATATTAAGAGATGCTAGCCACTCAATGCCCAGTACTAGATCTACCCCTCCCAATGAAAATGGGAAAAAATCTTCTTTAACAGTCAGCTCTGTGAGGTTAACTCCCACATCTTTACATACTCAGTTGCAGCGTACAATATTACTATCTCCAAGTTGGACTCCAAATGTAGAAATATAATGAGTGGGAAGACATAATTCTTGCACCAACAAGTCTGATATAAAATTATGAGTGGACCCACTATCTATAAGTAACAAGACTTCTTTTGTGAGTAGTGTCCCTTTATGTTTTATTGCTGCCCTGTGTTGCTACCTAAAATAGCATTTAATGAAATTTCTGCCCCCTCTACTGTAATATTATTGGGTTCATGATCTTCAAAAGGGGGAACAACTTCATCTCCTTCTTCTATGATTTCCATGAGAGAAAGTGAACCCCAACAGCAGTGCCCAGGCCGAAACACGTCTCCACAACAAAAACACAACCCCTTATCTCTCCATCTCTGCTGTTCAACATCCAGGGCCGAATTTCTGGTTGATGCCGAACTCGCTGGTCTGCTTCCCATCGGCATTGAGGTAAGCAATCTCTGCGAAGATGACGAGAATGAGAGATCTGAAGTTCTCTGATCACGTGCGCGAGGTGTAGTATGGAAACGGGTTTAGGTCTAGGTCGAGTTGGCTTTGCTTTTGCTGACACCCACTTTATTTTCAATTTCTAGTGCTATACTCACTACTTAGTAGACCAATCTAGGCTTATGGATGCATACGTCTGATCTCAACTCCTTCAATCCATTCATGAAGACGCCAAGCAAGCAATGCTCCGGCCAGTTCTTCACTCACGCTGATCGTTTTGCAAACTCTGTGTGGTAATCCTATACTGACTCGTCTTGCTTAATGCTATAGAGAAACTCGTCTGGATTTTGGTATTCGAGGGGCCCAAAATTCTCCTAAAATTCTGCCACGAGTTCATCCCAGTAATGGATTGTTTTTTCATGGCTAATCCAAGCAAAAAGATCCAATGCATCACCCTCTAATGATAATGATGCCACATCCACCTTCTCTTCCTCAGGTGTGTTATAGTATTTAAAATACTTTTCAGCCTTTAAAATCCAACCTCATGGATCACCTCCATTAAATTTTGGAAATTCAATTTTAGTGCGATGAAATTTGGTGTGTCTGCAATTTTATTGCTCGTCTTCGCTCTCTTCATCTTCATAAGAGTGTCTGCAGTGTGAATCTCTCAGTTTCTTGATTGTTGAGGTTTCAAGAGCCTCTACCTTTTCTTTTAATAAATCGAGAGTTTCAAGTTTTCGAGCAATTGCAACTAATTGGTCTGACATGAGTAAATTCAAATTTTTTGAGTTGTTGTTGGACGAGTTGTCTGACGGATTGGTTTCTTGACCACTACGTGTGGTAACCATGGCTCTGATGCCAAATTGATAGGTGCTCACGTTAGTAAAATGAAATAAGAGAAATAAATCTATTAAGATGGTATAAAACAAAAATCTCGTTCTAAACTTCTCTTAATAGCCACACTCAAGAGAATCTCTAAAGGGTTTAGAAGACTGTTTTATTGATGATGATATGCTAGCTTCAAGGTTGTTAGTCATATTTATAATGCTAAATACACTCTAAAATAAAATCTAGATAACTATCTAAGATAATGAATAAAATCTAGATAACTAAATAAAATCTCCTAAAATCTAAAATACTGAATAATAGATAAAATATTGAATCTCAATAAAATCTAAAGAATTAAATAGAATATAAAGAAATATTTAAAAACTAAATAAAATACTAAATCAAATGAAATTAATCCTAATTTATCTTTTGCTGCTTCCTTCTTGAATAAGTCTAAATTTTATCTAGAATCTTATCAAAGGCAATCAAACGATCTAGCAACTAAAATACTCTTCCGATTTTTTTTTTTTTTTGGTAAACCAGTTAAGAAAAAGATCTGCACTGTAAACCAGATCATTCTACGATAATATCAATACATAACTCACCTATATCCATTGAGAGTCCGTGCGTGATTATATTATATTGGTGTTTCAATACCAGCTAGATCTAGGTAATTTAAATTGTCTACTGCATTAAAATATATTTTAAGAGCATGAAGAAAGAGATAATTACTTATTAAATTGATTACATATTTCCCTATATGCAAATATCTCTTACCTTTTCAACTATTTTTCTTCTCGTGCGACAATAAGTTCCTCGAAATTGGCAGCATCGCCAGGATCAGTAGGTACCAAAATGTCATCATCAGCTGTGAAATTGTATCTGCTCGCAATTGCTCTAAGAAGTTGGTACACTTCAAACATAGTGGGCCTTTCCTTTGGAATTGGTGAAACGCAGTTGCATGCAACCTTGAGAAATTGGAAAATCTCATCATTAACACCCTTCCCAAGTAATGATTCATCAATAGCATCCTGGAGTTCAGATTTGCTTGAGAGCTGTGAAATCCACTCCACCAAATTTCCTTTGAATGTTTCAGGAGCTTTAGCCACATGGGTAGGCCTCTCACCTGTCACCAACTCAAGAAGCACAGTACCAAAGCTATAGACATCTCCCTTGGGCGTAGCCACCAGAGTTCTTGTATATTCAGGAGCAACATAACCAAGATCTCCAAACTCCCCATTTATAAAAGTACTCAAATGTGTGTCGATTGGATTCATCAATCTAGCAAGGCCAAAATCAGAAATTTTCGGCTCAAAATCTGCATCCAACAAGATGCATTTAGAGCTTATGTTTCGGTGAATAATGCGAGGATTGCAGCTATGATGAAGCCATGCTAATCCTTTGGCTGCCCCAATAGCAATTTTTAGCCTTAAAGACCACTCCATGGTACTTCCACCAGTAGCAGGATGTAGCTGATCGTGAAGGCTTCCATTTTCCATATATTTATACACCAAAAGCCTCTCCTGCTTGGCCACACAAAATCCTAAAAGGGAAACCAAGTTACGATGTCTAACAGTCCCCAATGTAGTCATTTCAGACGCAAATTCCTTTTCTGAGTATTGAGATTCCTGCAACCTTTTAACCATGAGCCATGTGCCCCCATCATCAAGGACAGCTTTGTACATAGTCCCTGTTCTTCCTGAACCAATGATATTGCTTTTACTGAAGTTGTTAGTTGCTTTCATGAGATCACTCAATTTCATTTTTGAAACTGACTTTTCAAACATAGAAACCTGATGTTCAATTCAGAACAGCTAAGCATAACATCATCCAAAAAGCTGCAATGTATATAAAACTACATAAACTGTGTTTCCTGTTTCAAAAAATATAAAATATTAAAAAATGATTTTAATAGCCTTTTTTTTTATCACACTCTGTTGATGTATCATTTAAAAATAGTATACTCCATTGATGCATCATTTAAAAAAGAAATTTGTTGTTGATGGAAACAACAGATTCAGAATAAAACTCATGTATAAGAAAATGCTTTAATAAAAAAAAAATTTAAGAAACTAATTTCTGTCAGATATGCTTTCAACACCACAGTGATTTTATTTTCAATAGTATAAATGAAGACAACAAGAAAAATCAATATCTCCTCCTGGTGCAATCATATGTAATATTTTAGATGCATTAATATAACTTGCCTTTATTCCTTTCGTTCCCTTTAGGCTTCTTGCCCATTTATTTCCTTCAGGATCCTCCTCCTTCTTCACAGAGACTCGGCGGACAAAGAAGAATGCCACAATACCCAATGCTAGTGCTGCAACAGTTACCCCACCAACAGCAGCACCAGCTATAATTGCAGTGTTAGCCTTCTTACCCTGACATGGATCCAAGGGAGCCCCACAGAGTCCTGAATTATTTGAATAACTATCTGCCGCAATTTTGCTTCCAAAAGATGGAACTGGCCCCGTCAAAAAATTATTTGTGACAGTAAAAGTCTTAAGCCGTTCGAGCTGGGCAAGTTGTGGGGGAATTTGACCAGTTAGTCGATTTTGATCAAGTTTAAGGGTATTAAGATAGGAACAATTTGCAAGGCCCACAGGGATCTCTCCTGAAAAGTCATTTGATGAGAGGTCCAGGGTTACCACAAATTTAAGAAGTTTATAAATATCAGCTGGAATGGTTCCCGAGAGTTTGTTGATCGAAAGATCTAATCCAGTTAAGCTTGTGCAATTTTGTATGGCATGAGGAAATTGACCCTTGAGTCCCATATTCGACAGCTTGAGGTTTAAGACTTTGTTCTCATCGTCGTGCCAACAATCAACCCCAGTAAAGTGACAGATAAATCCTTCTGTTTTATTATTGAAATTCCAGGAAGTCTTCAAAGTATTATAAGGGTCTTCAAGTGAATCTTGTATACTTTTCAAGCAGAAAATATCAGTATCAGTCCCATTGGTCATGCTACAACCAAGCAGCAGCAAGATACTTATAACAAAATGAGCTCTGAAAAATCTGCTACTCAGAACCATCTCTTTTGAGATCCCAAACAAGACAAAAAGAAATAATCCAGACACCTCAGTCAGGCCGATTGGAATTCACAGGCCAGAACACAGACTACATAATCCACACTATAATCCTTCATAGATCACTCCCTGAGACAAATTGAAAATAAAGCAAACAAAAGAAGCCCAATTCAGCATTTCACAGACACGCAGATCATATGAAAAGAGGGGGAAAAAAACTAAAACCCTAAGAAAACCAGTGAAATTTGACTTTGACACCAATCAATACACGCATAAAAGAATCCGGTTACGAATCACACGAATTTAACAAAATTATCCAAATATGTTGCAGCTTTTTGGAGAATTCGACTCAGGAAAACCTATAAAGCTTACACATCTCTTAAAATAAAGTGGGTGCATAACTCTGAACAGAAGAAAAGGGAAAGCATTCTGAATTGAATAAAAGAAAAATTGGAATAATCAAAGGCAAAATCGTGGCACAAATTAAAGAAACAAATAAAGCAATTGAGGAGATGAGTTACCAACACGATTTCGCAAATGGTCGTGTGAGAAGAATCCGTAGAAATTGAGAGCAGAAACGCACTTCACCGGGCCAGACAAGGAAGGTGACGAATTTCCAAGCTCAGGGGAGACTACACTGTCCTCACGCGCATGCTTTTCTGAAGTGCTTGACTAGATGACCAGCTTTGGTGGAAATAATGGGCAAAGTGGGCCCAAAAGGAAAAAAAAACAATAACAAAGGAAATCCACCCTTTAAGCTGATCAGACAACTGGCTATTTTTTTTTTTTTTTGGGCTAATAATTCAATTTTTTATATATTATATTACTAAACCTTCGACAAGTCACCCTCAAGGGATATCAACCAGGTCAACCAACAGGGCCCAGTCATCACGTCTAGTCGGCAGACACATCATGAGACATGTCACCAATGAACTCAAGTCCTCCGCCACATCAATAGACACGTCATCAAAAAGCTGTGTCATCATGTCCAGTCATTAGTCATGTTACGGGACGCACGACTATGGTTTGCCATGTCCAGTCATCGACATTTTTGAACCGTGGAAGTATATAATGGAAAAATAAAATAGGGGGAAAAACATGATAAAGGAAGAAAAGAGATAAGGCAAATAAATCAAAAGATAAAAAAAGTAAAAGTTATAATAGTATTAAAACGAAGAAGAAGAAGAAGAAGAAGAAAAGTGAAAAAAAAAAAAAAAAACAGAGAGAGAGATAAGAAAGCTGGACGATAACAATATTATATATATACATTATATCAAAACCAACGTGGGAGGCCCACCATTGGTTAATTGATTTAGACGAGTGTATTATGAATGCCCCTGTCAAATCGTTGTTATAGTTATTTGTTCCGGCAGCGTAACGCGAGGCGTTGAGGGCGAACAGTAGGCGACACAAAAGTTTATAGAAACCCTATCTGATATGTTAAAAAGGAAAAAATTATGGATAAATTCATTTAAATTATATAAATAATAAATTGATTTTATAAAATGGCATAAATTTTTTAAAATTTTATGGAATTTTTGTTGTTATTAAAAAAATATCAAATTACTCTCAAATAAAATAAAAATCTTTAAAATTGTAAATGACTATTGAATTATCATGAATTTAAAAATAAAAGTTATTAATATAGGAATTAAAATTGTAAATGAGAAGTTGTGAATTTTCAACATCTGATGCATATCAGGACTTGCATATGCAGAGTTGCGAATGATTGTTGAATTATTATAAATTTAGAAATAAAAGTTATTAATATAGAAACAAAAATTGTAAATGAAAAATTGTAAATTTTTAACACCTCATACATATCAAAACTTGCAAATGTGAAGTTGTAAATAATTATTAAATTATTATAAATTTAAAAATAAAAACTGTTAATGAAAAGATGTGAATTTTTTAATATGAATAAAGGATAAAAGTGTCATTTCTTATAATTTCTTAACAACAGAAACATCCCTTGAGACTTCAAGAGAATTATGTTATTTTATGAGATTAATTTATTATTTATATAATTTAAATGAATCTTTTTGTTATTTTTCCTTTTAAGAGAGGGATGATGCTTTTTAAGACTAGATAAATATCCTATAATTTGTGTTCTAGCTAAAATTATCAAATTTAGATGGATTTAAAATTTAGAAGAGATGCTAGAGACTAGATAGAGCTGTAGAGTTATTGGGTAGTAATTCTAGGACTGTATTGAGATGATAGAAAATGATTTTTTGAAAATTCTAAATAACTCCAAGTAATTTTAGAAGTTGTATGAATTATTTTCAAACTCCTTGGAATAACTTATAAATTAAAAATGACTCCAAGGAATGAATTATGACTAATTGATATTTATTTTAATTTTTTAAGTATGAAAATTTAACTTATTAAATGCTTGGAACTTGAAAAACATACTCACTGGCACCCTAGAATGAAAAAGTAACAATCAATATAATTTAGAGTTTCTTTTGGTATGTTTGAGAAGCTCTAAAGTTATAAATGTATTAAATAAAAGAGAAAATATAATTTTAGATTCTTACAGTTTATTTACATTTTATTATTGGTTACTATATTTTTTTATATTTTAGGTCCTTACACTTTTATTTTTTATTATTTTAAATCCCTCCATGATGAAAGTGTAAGGACTTTGAAAAGATTTAAAACAATAAAAAATAATAATATAGGGATTTAAAACACTGAAAAAAAGTGTAGGAACTAATAATAAAACACGAGTAAACTATACGAACCCAAAGTTATATTTTTCTTAAATAAAATGAATACTCTTAATCAAGAGTACTTATAGAGTTATATATAATTCTCACAAGTATTCTAGGTAAATTTAGAGTAATAAATAATTAAATATGTATTTTATGTGACTCTAATTCTTTAAATAATTGATCGTAAAGGTTCTATGAATTCCCTAAGAACTCAAAATTGTTGTGACTTAAACCTGAGTTAGCTGGAGAATGTCTTACAATAGAGACTTCAAGTTCTTACTCCGAACTTAAGCTCAAGTAATTTTTTTTAGGTTACTTGTATGCTAGTAGTGATAGATAACTAAACCTTTTATATACTAATATCAAATTGAACATAAACAACACACTTATTATGACATTTTGTGAAAACTTGATCTCGTAGTAAACAAAATATTTTTTGAGAATTTTTAGTAAAATTATTATTAGTGGAAAACTTCTAGGAATTTTTATAACTACTTGTTTAGAATTGCTAGGATTGAATAACCTCTTATTGATCATGATTTGACTGGTTGGAGCTTGATTGAGTTATTTGAATATATGGATCATGGTATAAATAAGGGTAATTTTTCTTTCCTTCTACCATGATACTTAGGTCATGCCTTTTCTATTATAGTAGTAAATTCTTTATTATCATGGTAGGAAATAATTAAGTATAAAAAATTTGGTTGAGGTTGCTTCATAAGTCATTTATAATTAACCATATTTGATTATCAATTATAAAGCTAATAATTCAAGTCGTGTCTGATCGGCTAATCGAAACTCACTCGAAAAAAATTTAGAGTTGGGCTAAGAAAAAAATATGATTTTTTTTTTTATGTTTGAACCTATTTAGGTAAAAAATTCAGGCCAAGCTGAGTACCAAAATAAAAAAAATTATTTTTACAAAATATATGAAAAATTAATTAGTTATTTAAGTTTTAAGTCATTTTATATTAAAATATTATATATTTGAGCTCCATACATCATATAAGTATCAAAAAATATTTTATATTTTTTTATAAAATAAAATACTTAATTTTAAAGAAAAATATTAATTAAAAATAATTTTAAAAATAAAATTCAGATATTCAAATCGCCCGAAACCGGATGAGGTTGTTTCACAAGTCCTTTATAATTTACAATTGACTAAATGCTCGCCTAAATTCTCAGTTCTAGTCAGTTGGTCTAGTTACTTGATAGGTTATAAGCACACCAAGTCACCAACTCATCCTGCCCAATCCATGGATACATCATCGTCTACTTCAATTGATGAATAGTCATTGTGTCTTGTCAGCAGGTGTGTAATGGGACACGTCACCCATCTAACCAAGTCATCAATCCAGTCATGCACCACGTCACCAAGGCCGCCGCCCGCTCTATGTGGTCATCAGGACACATCAACGTCGATGGGATTGTCCCTCCCTCTTCTTTCTTCTTGATCGGAATCCTTTTTCGCCCAAAATCCTTTTCCCCCCAAAATCCAATTTCTTTCCCAAGCTCGGTGGCTCTTCTTAGTCGATCAAGCTTCAGGTTAAGTGCAGTCGCCGTCGATTGCTGTAGGTATTGACTGTCAGTGTCTCTATCCATTAACTTTCCCAGCCCAAATTTCACTTCTCTTTCTCTCCTCTCTTCTTCCTTAAATCATGGGTTTCTATTCTAAGACATTGAAACTGATAGCAAAAACCAATTGAAGTTAATAGCAAAAACCATTAGTTTTCGTTTATCTGATCTTGCTCTTTCTCCATTTCTCGAATTAGCCAGTCTTCCACCTCTGTCAGCGTCATTCGGAGCTTTGTTCGGCGCCTCCTCCATCCGGCATCCTCTTCCCTTCTAAGCTTATCCAGTCTCTGTTGCATCAAAATTGGAAGCATTTTTCAGAGGAAGTCAGAAGAGAGCATCGTGGACTGCTATCACCTGTAGAGTCCAATGGTTATCTTAATTTAATATTGGTTTTATTCCCATGATTAATATGCTTCAATCAGAAGGGGACATCGTGGACTTGCTTGGTGTGTTGCATAGATTTAACTTTTTCTTATTCCTTTTATCAATTTAATGAGTAATTTCAGATTTAAACTGTTATCTTGGATTATAGTTGTTGTGATATACAGGCTGCCAAAAAACTTGTCTTCGGACTGAGAAGTCATCCATGGAGGAGTCTTGTCGTTTAAAAAAAAAAAACAATGGAGGAGTTTTCTGAGAATGGTTTTGGGGCTTTTGAAGCTGAATTAAATTTGTTTCTAAATAAGATTAACGTTAAAGACATCTCTTCTGTGTTGGTCTGAAAGCTTTGGTGGAGTTTGTAATAGGGAGATGAAATATTTTGTGGTTCTTGAATTAGGTGTTGTACTAGTAATAAGTGTGTGGAAATTGGTGTGCTATACAAAGCTGCAAATGCGTGGTGGTTCACTTGCATCTTTTCCCTGTGTAATTTAATCGAGAATATCCCAATGATAGCAATGTCCTCAAGAGTGATCTTGCTTTCCTTGGGTATTTTTTACATAAAGTTTATATTTCAGTTTCTACCCATGACTACTCACCTCTGCTATTCTAATAAAAAAGTGGCCAATTTTCTGTAAACCTCAATTACAATCCAATGTATAAATCTTTACCAAAAAATTTGAGAGAGTATTCCAAATGTCAAATTTGCTGTCATCTTGTGCTAATTTATTATTATAATTTGCTGTCATCTATTGTTTCAACTTTGATCACCTAAAACTTAACCACTCTCTTTCTAATGATAGAATGGTGTGATATAGAATGTACGGTGATGGCATGGTGTGCAGATCATTGAATTTTAATATATGTGAGCCTTAGCTCATATTTTAGTGCATGGTGATTCTAATTATTGAAATTTGTTCATTCATTATAGGAGTTATGGTGCTCAAGCAAGCTTTTTGAGAAGATTAAAAGGAAGGAGCAAGAAATAGGAAAGGGCAAGGGAAGATTAATGATTACTAACAATGAGATTCTGATGTGGAAAGCTTTTGAGAATTGAAGGGGATGAAGACTATAGTTTGTTGCTGATAAATTCAGTGTTGATGACTTGCTACTTCGTTGTCTAGTTGTTTAGTATATGTATGTTGCTGTGCAGAAATGTTTATGCACCTTGAGATGGTTTTAACGTTTCATTGGAACTGGGTTTAACCAGAGATGGTTTAACATATGTAACTTGAGTGGCAGGTTGGGCTAGGAAAAGAGGGACTTGGTCAGGAGCGGATCTTTTTCAGCCCACACTATCTAACCCAAGCTCATTTCAAGCTAATCCTCATAACCTGCAGATTAGCTTGCTTTTAATATTATTTTTAATTCCAACATCATGAACCCTCCTTATCCATCTCTGCACTTTACCCTCTAATATTTTGTTATGTTGGGGGATCAAATTTAGCAGCACACACAACTTAGTTATGGCATGCCTATATGTTGTTTTGCCTAGACGTGAGTGTGTGTGTGTTCATTTACATAATAACCCGGACACTTTTTCTTTTCAAATTTATTAGCATACAAGTGGTCCTTGAATTGTTTCATTTCGCTTGGGAAGTAAGGAAATAAATATGTAAGTAAACTATTTTACAACAAGCATGTTAAAGTCATCTTGTTCAAAATTAAATTTAGAGTAATCATTTTTAATCCTTGTATAGCATTGAGCCTGTACATATACCTTAGGGTGTTCATAGGTTTAGTTTGATTCAGTTTTAGGGGAAAAAAACAAGTCTAACCAAATCAATCAATTCACCAAATTTTGAGATCTTTTTTATTTTTTTTTTAAATCATTTGGTTTAAATTTGGATTAGGTTTGAATTTTCTAGTGAGATATTGTCATAATCAATATATACGTGTTTTTCAAAAGGATCTTTGAATAAGGTGGTTTTGAGTAGATTTTAAATCTTTCCAAAAATCCAACAACACCAATGGTATTCCTCAACCACCTTTCACTCCTAACTAACCTTAATTTACCATTTACCTTAATTAATTTAGGATTAAAAATTTGACGTGTTATAGACTTAAAGGTGAAAACTTGTGTTGTGGGCTTCAATATTTTATCAGAGCAATATTTTTTACATGCTTGACTTGTTATTACTATGATAGACGGCTCAGTATTCTTGAAAAATTTGGAGGTGCTGCACTCGGAACATTTATTTAGCCTCAACCCAACTATAAAAACTCAATTCAATCATATGGAATCTTCACCCAACTCACAGTCCCAAATCACCGGCTTAGAAATTTAAGAGAAGTTGATGAATAAAGAAGGCAAGAATCTTATAAATCATGACCTTAGGGGTCTAAGACCCAAAAAAATTTGTTGCAAACTAGCTAGGAATTTAAACCTAATAGACCCAATAATTTTCACCTCCAGCCTCTTCTTTTCCTTCTTTCTTGTTATGTTTCATGTTTCTCTCTTTTTACATTTTCTCTCTCAAGATTTAGGCCCAAGTGGCTCAATTCCCTTCCTAGACCAATTTCATTTGCTCCCACATCTTATCGAAGCCAAAAAAAACTCCTATTTGACTCAATTAATGATCCCTACACACTTCTAAATTTCCTTTAAACTCACTTAACCTTAAGACAAATGAAACTAGAATGCTATATGGAAGGCTAGGGTTTTGAGGAGCTCAATATTCCACACTTCTCTAACGTCTAGGAAGTGATTGATTTGGACCTGCTCTCAAAGATTTGGATGCTAGATTGAAGATTAGAGAGTCATTTGGAGTTTCTTGAAGAGATTTTTCTACAACTTTTGTTCTTCTCCAATGTTGTCAATTTTTGAGTGTGTTGTTGAACTTTTTAGCAAATTTAAAGCTAGTTATGATTAGATTTGTGTAAACCTTATAGAATTCATGAACCTTTATGCTCTGTCACTAATTTCCCTTTTGATTAGTGTTATTACTAATGGAGATTTTCATGCTTAATATGAAATCATTTGCTTCATTATGGTGATTAGTCAACTCTAATTTGAATATAGGTTTTGTAATTTTCATTTGAAAAAAGGAAACTATATTAGTTATAGATCATTGGTTGAACAACTCAGGATTAGACTCATTGATCTAATTTGTACTTGAAATAGTGATATACTCAAGGGCTCAAGGTGGCTAAGTGAGGGCAAATGTGAGCTTAATTGAATGTTAATTTCTTGCTTGAGACATCATAGAGTTAGGTTGATATGTGAGTTTAACTACATCGAAAGACATTTTTACCTCATTTATTCTCAACTCTAAAATTAAAATTAAACAAATTAATCAGAAGGAAATGAATTACAAAGTTTAATAAAGAGAATTAAAATTCCTACGGTGCTTAATTGCTGCTAGCCTTGCTTAGAGTTGTGCTATTTTATTTAATCTCATTCAAAATTATTATTGTTCAAATCACTTGTTAATTGCTTGCTTGACTAGATAGAAATGGATATGGTTTTGAGTTCGATTTCTCATGTTTTAGTTCTTTGTGGGATATGATATTGATTCCTGCTATACTTCTTTAAATATATATTCTTGCGGTACACTTAATTTTAGTGGTAACCAATGCAATAACTTCAAGCAATATTGTAATTTGCTGATTTGATGACTTTGACTAGTGAATGGTGATTGTTGTGGTTTGCTACAAGGGAAGCATCCTCCATTGCGATGAATCTTTTTAATTGAGTTTTGTTGTTGAAAGGATACCTCAAGACAAGATCTTGGATTTAAACATAATAAGGTTTGCGTTTAGTTTGTTTGGTTTTCACTTGTATGATTTGTGCTAAGTTAGTTGCCTTATTTTAAGGGGTTTTACACAATTAGTGAAGGAAATCCAATTAGTCACCTCTCATACTTTATATCTCAATTGTATGATTTTAGTTGTAGAAATTATGGTTTCGTCTGAGTCTATTTAATTTTCTGGTTTAATGTTCTCAAAAACAGTTATGTATAGCATTTTTTTAAACAAGTTTTGGAGAAAAAATAAAAAAATTTGTTTGAATTATTATTTTGAAATAATTATTTATTTCATTAACATAATTGTCGTTAATAAAAACACACAAATTTATTCATTTTCTCTAAATTAACAAAAACAAAAAGTAACAAAACATTAAAAAAATTAAATTTTTAATTTTTCAAAATAATTTATAATTTATATTTTATTTTTAAAATAGATAATAAAAAACATATTCTTAAATAATTTTTCTTTTCAAAACAAAAACTATTCTAAAGACAACCAGTGATGAAACATGTCATGGGCTAATATATATCACACGGTAATAAACAAACCATGTTGTTAACTTGAATGCTTGTTTCAACACTATTTCCTAAGTAGGATGCTTTAGTAGTTGTTTCTCCTCCAAGGTAAGCCTCCTCCACTGAGGAGATGCATAATTTGGAAAACTGGATGGTTCATATTTAACGTTTTTGTTATTTATATTTTGTTTTTTAAAATAAATATTCATGTAAATTGTGAAATTCTTTTAATAAATCTATTCATTAGTCTGGACAGTTTGATTTTAATATGACTAATCTTTATTTAATATTAAAAATTTATAAAAATTATAAAAAATTTAATATTAGACTTGCACTATCTAGAATATATTTGAATAATCAAGTTATAAAAATTTTAATATTAAATGTGGACTATTTATATTAAATCTAAATTGTCGAGATTGGTAAATAGATTTATTAAAATTATTTATAATTTAAATAAATTTTAGGTTAAAGTGCATTTTTGCTCCTTTACTTTTCTTCAAGGAGTGTTGGGCATCATGTACTAATACATGTGACATATTTTTCACTAAATTATTTTGCTCCTTTAAAAAATAGTTTAGGAGAAAATTGCTCCATTTATTAGTATAATGTGCTCCACACTCCTTGAAGGAAAGTAAATGAGCAAAAATACACTTTAACCTAAAAGTAAAATATTAGTGATTATTTTAATTTAAGTAATAATTACTTTTCTTTTGGCAATGACCAAAATGAAACAAGTAATTTTTCATTTTGGTCATTGCTAAAAGAAAAATAGTCATTAGTTTAATGAAAATAGTGACAGATATTTACAACACTTGAATTTCAACGAATAAAAAATTTGTATAAAAAAAGTTGTAATCAATTATTTTATTATAGTCATTGTTAGAAAAAAAAAGTAGTTATTGTTTAAAGTAAAGTAGTTACTAATGTTTGTCTTTTTATTTTAAACTAAGGGTATTTTAGTTATTTCACAAAAAAAATTAATGTTGAAAGGTCTCTAGAGACTTGAACATAATTATGACATTTTGTAAAATCTCATTATCATTTATATATTTTAGGGGATTAAAGTATATTTTTATCTCTATATTTTCTTGAAGTACTGAGTATTTTGTACTAATAAATGAGGTATTTTTTAAAATTATTTTTTAAGGGAGTAAAAATCTTCATTCATTTAGAAAAAAATGTGCTTTAACCATATAAGATTTTTATTTTAAAAAATATAAAATAAAAATATTAAATTTGTAGCATCAAGATTAGATCAACAAAGTATGACTTGTATGAGGACTAACGCATTCATGTTTGCAAAGTCTAAGAACTTCATCATTATGAAAACTTCAAGGATAAAGGACAGGATTGAAAATTGATGTAGACTAAAGGGCCAAAAAAATAGAGAAAATAACAATCAAGTTCTAAAAGGACTGATTAAATCTAGCCAAGTCTCAAGTAATTTTAAAAGGCCAATCAAGTCCTATATTTTTTTACAAATCTAAGTTATAGTAGAAATAACTAAAATACCCTTATAATTAAATATAACATCAATAACATCAACACTCATCATATAAGCTCCAACATTTCCCTTCTGAGCAAACTCCTTTCCTACCATAATGAAACCTACATGTAAGTAGAGGAGAGACACGTTGAAGAATACCTAATTAAAAATAGAGTTGCGCATGGAAGAGGTAAACTTGCCATAATTATTGACTCAAGTAAGCTCTGATTCTCTGTGTATGTGAGTTTTTTTTGGCTAGTGCATTCAGATAGGTTTTTTTTTTTTTTTGCAAATCCCTACAATCTATTCCCCATTACAGCTTTCTTCTTGCAAAATGACTCTCATGTACAAAAAGGTAGAATGGTTTTTTGCAACTGAACATGAAATTTTTTTTATTTCACATTTCTAAAGATTTGGCATAAAGATTCGACATTTTGCAACTAAAAGTATAAGAATTTATTTTCAAGTGTTTATATTTTAAGATGAAACGTTGTCATTGTCTCACTGATGCAAAAATCACTGATGCCAAAAGTAACTTATTTTTGAGTCATATATTATGACATTTTATTTTGTTTGTTGTAAGTTGATGTTAATGGGTACAATGGAAAGTAGTTGTTTAAATAAATTTT